ACGTTTTTGGATTTTATCTTAAATAGAGAGGGCCTCATTAGAAAAACCAGCCCAAGTATAGCAATGGTATTCAATACAAGGTCAAATAAAAGGTCTAGACATAGAAAATGGAATCAAGAGAAAGAAAACGGTGAGGACAATAATAAAAGGCAATCTTAACTGATGCTAATTATGCTATGGATTGTATTGTTTCCATGAGAAAAAGATACCGCTCATATACTATGACCGCTCAAATAAGCTATCATTCTCATGAGCAGTTAGCAAGATCAGAAAGTAAGTTATTAGGTACAAGATAAGAGATTAAGTGTTTGTTAATTAAAGATTCAAAAACCTTGCTTATGATAGGAAGAAGACTAATGGGATGGTAGTTAGACAAATCAGATCGCTCTCCAGAATTTTAAAAATAGGGATAACAGATGCTGCTTTCCAGCAAGCTGGAAAACAAGACTCTGATAAGTACTTGTTGAATAGTTTTGAAAGGATAGACAACAACTCCGGAGAACACTTCTGCAAAACTATAACAGGTATGTTGTCCGGGCCGCAAGCTGTAGAAGAGTCTAAGCAGGAAATCACTTTAGATACAGAAGCTGGAGTGATACGGATGTCGAGCAGTGGATCAACCTGTTTGACAACTATATATAGGTAGAACGCAACTAGTGGAATCAAGAGATGATATTGATGAAAAGTTCTTAGCAAAATATTCAGATTTGTTTTAAGAAGAGGTGACAAAGTCTAAACCATACAAAAGAGGTGGAATAACAGATTTTTTCCTTATTTTGATACTGTTAAAGATTCTCCAGAAGTCATGAGAGCCTAATTTTTGTAATGAAATACGAGATTTCATGATCTGAGAATAGCGGGCTTTGGCGTAAGACAAAACCTTTTTACAATGGTTCCTAGCAGTAATAAACAGACGTCTGTTTTCTTGAGAATTGTTTTGCTGATAGATATGGAAGTAATGGTTTCAATTGGCAATTGCAGCAGCACAATGCGAGGAAAACCATGGAGAAGAGTGAGGCTTGACCTGGAATCATCAAGGGGGAATAAAGGATTCCATGCCAGCCTAAATCCACAAAGTTATGAAAGAAACACATTTGTCAACAGGAAGATGAAAGATTTATACCCAAGGGCTATCACGAAGAAAATCACGGAACGAGTCCCAGTCAGCTTTAAGGTTGTTGTAAGATGTACGGTGATAGGGGGATTCTGATGATAAAGAAGAATGAGATAATAGTTTTAGAGAGATCAAACCATGATCGGAAGTACATAAGGGTGAATGTGGAGAAACTGAACACTGACTAGGATCAGAAACAAGAAATGATTCGAGTTGTCTGGAAAACGAGTTGGAAAGTTGACTATTTGAGTTAGAGATTGAGAAAGGCAAAAGTTGTGGGTTTTAATGCCTGCAGAATCACTGACACTAGACCCAAGCCATTCAGTGTGATGAACATTGATGTGATCAACAAGTCACTGACAACAACAATAATGGGTGATGGATAAAGAATGAGGGCTTGGTCAATATGATCAGAAATAACATCAAGAAAAGTGCAGTCTTGAGATGAAGGAGAGCGATATAGAACAAAGAGAAAGGTGATAGAGTGAAGTTGTGGTAAATGAAAGCACATAAAAGAGTAGTCTGTGGATTCAAACCTAGTTTCCCGACAAATGGGTGAATTCTTACGAATGTAAATGCCCAGGCCAAGCCTGTGACTATTGGAGTCTTTACCAATTAAAGGAAGATAACCATCAACACTAAGATCACAAGATGAGACATCTGAACTCAAATTAGTCTCACAAAGAGCAAGTAGGTCTGGTGAACTTTGCAAGAGATAAGACTCAACAGAAGAAAAGTTACTTTGAAGACCATGAATATTAGTTAATGGTTTAGAGAATTTGGTGATGACTGTGTTTTTTTGTGTTTTATAGTTAACACTTTGATATTTTTCAGCTGTTGATGGAATCAGCCTCTCTGAGAGCTACCACAGAGTTTGGGAAACCTGACTACCAGTTTGCCTTAGAACCTTAAAACTGAGTTTTAGAGCTGTACCCTCATTAGGAGATAATAGAATAAGTTGCCTAGTCAAAAAAACGGAGACACAAGCAAAACCGATGCATTGAGTCAAGAAGATCCAGCATTCAACATCCTAAACTGGAAACAATGTATTAAAAATACATCTTCGCCAGCCTAATAGATAAAGAAAGGATGTGAGACTGGTCAACAGATAGAATCTGTTTACCCCTTAAGTCTTTGCCTAGAAGGCCTTCTACAAGACTGCAGCCGGATGCATTTAACATCAAGATAAGTATTTTTATCGAGACACCATCTCTAGCCTTTACTCAACCAAGAGCCCCAAGGCAGGGGGTGTTTTATGTCAGATCTCCTAGCCTTTGCCTAAAAAGGCGTATCCTACAAGGCAGCAGGACATAAAGCAGATTGTACTGGGTTACATGTTACCAGTAGCAGGATAAACCTTACCTGACAATAAATATATATGACTGAGAGGTTAAGAGAAACAAATATTTTGAGCTTTAGAGCAGGGCCAGTGGTACTAGAGTCAATTTATCCAGTATGATAATAAAGCCATTCAGTGTGATGATGCTTTAAATTCACTAATTACAACAATATTAAATGATAGATAATGGGAAATGGCTAATGGTCAATTTAATCAGGAATGACTTTGAAATGAGTTTAATGAAATGAAACAAAGGAGAATAATAAGGGGAAAAAAAGTTGTTAAGTCAAGAAAATCAATAAAAAGTAGTTAAAATTAAATTAAAACCTGGTTTTACCACAAAAAAGTTAATGGATACATAAATATATGCCCAGACCAAGTATGTATCTATTGGAATCAAAGAACAATATGGACAATTGTGAGATTTGAAGATGAAACATTCCAATTTAAATTGGTCTTACTAAAAGCACGTAGGTATGGTGAATTTTTCAAATGGTAGGATACATTGGATGTTACATTGAAAACCAGAACTATTTATAAAAGTTTTAATTATATAAAAGTTAAATAATAGTTTTAACTTTTAAAAGATCTCTTTTAAAAATGGATTCTTTTATTTATTTATTTTTTTTTTTGATAAATGGCAACAGCTAGTACTAATTTTGGATTCCAAAAACTGGTATATTGTAATAATATTGCTGATAATTGTATTTAAGTATTTTTGAATTTGTCATTATGTTGTATTTAACTACATACATAGTTGCATAGTTGTATATTTTTTTAAATATATAGTTTTGTTCTTTCTTATTTCTAACTAATAATTTTATTGTTGTATATTTCCTTAAATATGCTTATTAAACTATAATTTTATTGTTGTATTTTTCCTTAAATATGCTCATTATTTGTATATTTGCTCAAATATGCTCTTTTTATATCCATTGGTATTAGAAAAAGTTTTGAAATGCTTTTACCTAATAAAATATCTCATGATTTAAAAAAAAAAGATATAATAGGTTTACAATATATATATTTTTTATAAGTTATTAAATTTTTTTTGCATACTTAGTTAATATTTATGTAATAATATTGTTAATAATAATAGTATTAGCTCCATACTACCCTAGGTAAAAAATAAAAAGTAGAAATTCTTACCTAGGTAAGAATCGTTATGAATACTTTTTATTATAGTTTTGACTAAAGCCTGCCCCAACCAAACTCCCTAGTGATTGTAACTTATATACATTTGGCTGTGCCTATTCTTTTTTTAAATCAGTCTTTATATTTATATTTAAAATATATCATTTAATATTGATGTAATAATTATTCAGCAACTTAACTCTAGTTAAGAAAACGTTTTATTTTAAATTTAATGTATTAATTTTCTTTTAATGTTAAAATAAGTTTTTTCTAAGTTTTTTAATTTTAAATTACTCAATTTTTGAGCAATTTTTTGTAATATAGTTTTAAATGATTGACAAATAATTATTTCTGTCTTCTCTATTTGATTAATTTCTGTCTGCTCTATTTGATTGACAACTTCTGTAAACTAGATTCTCTAGCTTCTCTTTTGCACAGTTCTAAAATATAAAATTTCAATACTTGATAATATTTAAATAAATAATATTTATAGTCTTTTTAGTAACTTTTACACTTTTTTTATAATTTAAAGTTTTCTTTAAAAGTTTTATAATTTGAAGTTTTCTTCAATTAGTTACTTCACTTGAAGATATTTTAAATATTTTGTGTTTTGTAAAACAAAAGCAAAATATAAAATCTGTAGTAAAAAATCTTATTAAAATCAGTAAAAAAATCTTATTAAAGACAAAGTAGATATCTAAAGACAAAGCAGACATTAAATGCCACTTATGTCATATAATTATATTATACATTAAATGCCACTTATAATGTCATACTAAATTAGCTATTTGCAGGAGATTTAGTACACAGATTTAATACAGCAGTTTAGGTTTAGGCAGGGACAATCTATGTATGATGGATATTACTTACAGCAAAAAAATTTTTTCTTTATTATTATACTTTCATTGCTGACAGAAATCTGTCGGGATTGAAGTCTTAACAAATGAGGATAGTGTTGATATATCCATGATATCTCTAGTGAAGTCTTAACAAATGAGGATAGTGTTGATATATCCATGATATCTCTAGTGAAGTCTTAACAAATGAGGATAGTGTTGATATATCCATGATATCTCTAGTGAAGTCTTAACAAATGAGGATAGTGTTGATATATCCATGATATCTCTAGTGATGACTATGACTGTTTCTAACCTTCTTGTTTTAACAAGAAACTTATCTTGTTACTTGTTGAAACAGTCATTTTTCTTGTTGAAACAAGACTGGTAAAAATAGTTTGATGAAACAAGACTGGTGGAGATAATCTGATAAAAATGACTGGCAGAAAAAATCAGATGAAAACAATACCAGTGAAAGTAAATAATAAAACAGGAGCAGTAAGAATTATCTGATTAAAAAAAAATTGTTTCAAAGTTCTATTATACAGAACATTTTCCAGAATATTTATACACATTTTAATAACTGGTGAACAATTCATTTTTCAACAGTTTTGAAAATTTGAAAAATCGAACTATTTTAAAAATTTAATATATGAGTATGAGAGTACTACAAAATTTATTTTTAATTGATTTATAACATTGTTAAGTGATTTATAACATAACATTGTTAAGTGATTTATAACATAACATTGTTAATTGATTTATAACATAACATTGTCAAGTGATTTATAACATAACATTGTTTAGTGATTTATAACATAAGATTGTTAAGTGTATGCACATGATATTAAATATTTAAAAGTACCATTGAAAAGTTGTTAGTAGTTGAGAAGTTACATTACTGAAAACTGTTTAACCCTTATATTTATGATTATTCTACACTTTATTTTAATTAAAGATTTTAGTTTTTTTAGTTGAAAATTTTTTTCTTTCTAGAATCATTATCTTGCATTGTTCAAGCTCTTGATATTAATCCAAGGAATGCATTCTATTGGATATATTTGTATGAACTGCTAGAGTGCATTAAAATTCATTTAAATTTAGAGAAAATATGTGTAAACAGTGAGGAATTTATTATTACAGATCAACTTTTTCAAGATGTTATACAGTTTGCCAAGTAGAGTTTTTTTTTAAATGTTTTTTTAGAGTAAGAAAAAATTTTAATTATCTACTATAGTGTATTTATGTAATAAATTGTTAACCTATTTTTGTTACATTAATTTATTTAGTGTTTTCAGAAAGAAAAGAAAAAATCAAAGGAAAAGATTGCTGCCCCATACCAAACCCTCAGTCGATGTAGTTGCACTCCGTTGCGGCAGCAGGCTATAAGATAGTCGATGTATGTACTGAAGCCCCTGGCATTAAGCTCAGTGTGATGTAAGAGTGCAATGCTTAATTAAGGCAAGTTAATTACATTATTTTTTTTGAAAAAGAAGAAAAAAAAAACGAAGAATGATGAATAAAACGATTGCTGCCCCATCCCAAACCCTCAGTCGGTGTAGCGGCACTCCACTGCGAGTTAGGCTATTTGTCAGTTGATATATGTACTGAAGCCCCCAGCAGCAGGCTATTTCAGTATGACGTATATATATATATATATATATATATATATATATACATATATATATATATATATATATATATATATATATATATATATATATATATATATATATATATATATATAGAATATAGACTATCAATACACACACATGAATGGGATTTTTTTTTAATTAAAAACTTGTCTGCCCTAACCAAACCCTCAGTCAATATAACAGCTCTCCTAGCATTTTGCAGCTCTTAGCCAGTCAATGTATCAGCGTATTCACATGTTCTACCAATTTGTGCTACACTTCTCACATGTTCTACCTATTTGTCAGTCGATGTTTGTACATTAAAAAATAAATAACACAAATAAAAAAAAGTATATAAGACAGTAGTAAAAAATCACTTAGCTAAAATTTTTTTTATTTAACACTGTATTTCATCAATAAAGACTCATTAGAAATGAATGATCAAATTAATAAAACTTTAATTTATACCAAAAATTAAATTACAGGAAGTCGCAAATGTCATATCTATTGTAAATTTTCACACATTTGTTTAATATGCTGACACTATTATAAAAATAATAATTTAATTATTCTTTTTATAATATTAATAATTTCAAATATTTCTTGTAGCCATAGTATGCATTTTATGCTTGTTAATGAAACAAAAAAACTCCAAAAAGATCTTAAAGTTATTCTTGATGAAAAAGACTACAAAAAAGTTGAACAAGTTACTGAGAAAGCTCGTGAAATAATGTTTCTGAAATCGAAAGAGAGATTATTTAAAAAGTTTAAAATTCTTCAAAATGGATTTGAAAATAATCACAGTAATAAAATTTGTAAGTTAACAACCCATACAAAGAACGCTATTTTAAACTTATGCAATGATGTTATTTTAAAAAAACCAAAATAATCTTCTTAATCTTGGTCCACATTTTGTACCTTCTTTGAAATATATACCTTATATGGATATTATTGCAACAACAGAGACCTCAGCTTTGAAATTGGAATATAGCAACAAGATTGAGGATGCGCAGGATTTGCGAATAATGTTTTAAAAGAACTTAAAATGGGTAAAAAAATAAATCAAAATTTAACAAGAGAACAAAGAAAAGCTCTTATGGAAGTTAAGAAAAACAAAATTATTGATATATATCCGTTTGATAAGGGTAATGGTTTTGTAAGGATAGAACACGATAAAGCTTTGGAAAAAATTCGCGAACAAATTGGCCTAACAAGAATTTTAAGTGAAGATCCCAAATCTGGTTATGCTATTAAAATAAAGATTTATCTCTCACAACTTAATAAAAAACAACGATTTTCAAAAACGGAATATGATAGTATATATCCAAGTGATCCCATCCCGCCTCGTATGTATGGTCTAATTAAAGCTCACAAACCTGAAAAATCCTATCCTATGAGAATAGTTGTATCAACTATCGGCACTCCTAATTATGGAATATTGAGTAAAGAAAATACAACCTGTCTTTAACAAAAACCAAACATATCTGAAAAATTCTTTTGATTTTATTAGTAAAGCGAATTCATGGGAGATTGACAAAAACGAGGTTCAAGTTTTATTTGATGTAATAAACTTGTATCCATCAATACCACTAAAGGAAGCCACTTTAGTTCTCATAGACCAATTAAATAAAGATGATTCCTACAAATGTTCTACCAAACTTACTATATCTGAAACAAAACAACTCATAGACCTTTGTTTACACCGTTGTTATTTCCTTTGGAACAACGAAATCCATGAACTTGAGAATTCTGGTCCTATAGGTCTTTCATTCACGGTCGTACTTGCAGAATCATTTTTACAACATGAACAAAATGCTTTCAAAATTTCAATGGCATTAAATCCTCCTCTTGACCTAAAATCCTATCTAAGATATGTCGACGATAGTCACGCTAGATTTTCCAACACTCAAGAAGCAGAACAATTCCTAACTATCTTAAACAAACAACACCCTGCAATACAATATACGATCGAAACTGAAAGCGAAAATAGAACTTTATACTTCCTCGATTTAACCATAATAAACAACAACAAAGGAAAATACGAGTTCAAAGTTTACAGAAAAGAAGCCATAACTAATATTCAATTTAAACATCACTCAAATCATGACCCTAAGGTTCTAAACGCAATATTTAAAGGTTACGTTCACAGGGCTTATTTTTTATGCAGTACTTTATATTTACAAGATGATATTAATTTCCTTATTCAAATGTTTAACGAAAATGGGTACAACATATACCAACTTAAACGGATTGCAAAATTAATTGGAAATAAACGATCTCTAAAAGTCAGTAAAATTCAATCAGACTCTCTTAACATCCTTACTGTATCGTTGCCATGGATGCCATCGCTATTCCCAAAACTAAGGAAAATATTTCAGAAAGCTGGCTATAGAGTAGTCTTCAAATCGAATTCAGATTTAAAAACATTACTGACGTCAAAAAACAAAACTAAATTTCCACAAAATCGTCAACCCGGAACTTATTGATTGAATGCAAATGCTCAAAGAGATACGTAGGCGAAACTTAACTTGTCAAATTAGGACTCAGACTCAACAACATCTAAAAAGTTTAAATAAGGGGAAACAGTATCAATCTGCAATAGCCACCCATAATAAGTTTTTCTCACAAGAAATAAAGTGGGAAAATGTAAAAATAATTAAAGTTGAAACAAAAAAATTTGATCGAAAAGTGCGCAAAGCCCTAGAAATACAGAGGTTCCAATGTTCACCTATATATGGCGGAATTAATTTAGATAACAGGCAGTTTGTGAAAACTAAATTTTGGACACCATTTTTTACATTTTTACGTAAGCAAGAAAGAAGCCATTCAACTGCTGACGTCAGTTAATTTAAACTGTTTCTAACGCTACAAAAAAATTTTATTGTATGATTTTTACGAGCTGATGATGCTGGTAACCATAATCCAGCAAAAATTTCTAATAATAAATTTAATTGTATTAAGAGAATTCGTATTAATTGATGTTTTCTGACTAATATAACATATACTCTTGTACACGATGTCAACACTAAAGATATATATATATATATATATATATATATATATATACATACATATATATATATATATATATATATATATATATATATATATATATATATATATAATATACATATATATATATGTGTGTATATATATATTTATATAAATATATATATATATATATATATAAATATATAAGTATATATATATACATATATATATATATATACTTATATATTTGAATATATATACATATATATCTTCATATATATGTGTGTGTGTATATATATATATATATATATATATATATATATATATATATATATATATATATATATATATATATACACACATATATATGAAGACCTCAAATCTCATTACTATTAATAAACTCTAAGCTGTAACAAAGGACTCAAAATGCGGCCTCTACAATGTACACCTAAAGTACGAACAGGGACACCATCCATGTGCAACATGTCATTGTTAGTACTTTAATATTTTACAGCTGTTGATGGAATCATCCTCTCTGAGAGCTAACACAGAGTTCGGGAAACCAGACTACCAGCTGGTCTTAGAACATAAAACCATAAAAACCATAAAGAGTTTTAGAGCTGTATTCTTATTAGAAGATAATAGAATGAGTTGCCTAGTCATTAGTCATTTAATATCCTAAACTGGAAACAATGTATTATAAATACATCTGCGTCAGTCTAATAAATGTAGAAGGGATACAAAGCTGGTCAAAAGATAGAATCTGTTTATTCCTTAAGACTTTGCCTAAGAGGTTTCCTACAAGAAAGTAGCTGGATGCATTTAATGTAACTATATATATATATATATATATATATATATATATATATATATATATATATATATATATATATATATATATATATATATATATATATATAAATATATAAGTATATATATATACATATACATATATATAAATATATATATATATATATAAATATATATATATATATATATATATATATATATATATATATATATATATATATATATATATATATATATATATATGTATACATATATATATATATATATATGTATACATATACATTATTATATAAATATATATATATATATATATATATACATACATATATTATATATATATATATATATATATATATATATATATATATATATATATATATATATATATATATATATATGTATATATATATATATATATATATATACATATTTTATTATATATATGGCATTAAAATAAATATATAGATATATTAATATATAATATATATTTATTATTAGTGCATTAATATATATTAATGTGTTAATATATTAATACATATAATGTATAATTAATGTATAATTGTAATATATAATGTATAATTAATGTATTAATATATAATATATATTAATACATTAATATAAATATATACATATATTAATATATACTAACAGTAAGCTATATATTTTATAGATAACCCGTAATACGGGTTATTAGTAATTAAATCATTAATAACAATAAAAGCACATTAATAACTTGATATATTATTTAATAAAATTAAATAAAATTTATCTCTAAATAATATTTTAAGTTTGACATCTTAACAGCAATGTTATTGCTTATAGTTAACGACACAAAAAGCGTGCATTAACATCAGTTAAGTTCTTCCTAAAATTTCACAACACAGAAGGTACCAGAAAATTCTTTATTGTTACTGTTCTTAAGTGCTCCAAAAACTCTTATTCGTCTAGTTTTTTTCCTCGAACATCAGTTCTTTGGAATTCGCTTCCTTCATCTTGCTTTCCTGATTCATATAATTTGCAATCTTTTAAGTCGTATGTCAATCGTTATCTTGCTCTACAATCTTCATCTTTTTTCTTCCAGTAACTTCCAACACTTATTAGTGGTTGCTTGCAGCCTTGTTGGAAGCCAAGATAATAAAAAAAAATATATATATATATACATATATTAATATATATATATATATAAATATATATATATATATATTTATATTTATATATATATTTATAAATATATTTAAATTCATATATATATATAGGCCCGGTGCAAGGCGTTCTGAAGGTAAAAAATTTAATGCACTACATTAAATGTCGTAAAAATTTCAGCATCTATGCAAAAGAAGACAAAACTGACAATTAAAGAAAATCTTGCTCTTAAAAATCTTTGAAAAAGTTTAAACTAAAAAGAATGAAAAAACTGAAAAGCTGAAAACTTTTGTATTCCTTTAACTTACACTTTAACTTACTACATTAGGCATAAAGAAGACATATTCAGTAAGTCAACCCTTGGAATTAGGGTCAGCATTCAGCAATGCTGACCTAACTGCTGACCTAGAAGTGTTTGAGGTTGGCAAAAAATTGCAGACCTTGTTTCTATCTTTTATGGTAAGATATAAGTATATATTATTTCTGTTGATATAATCAACCCTCGGAATTAGGAAAAATGAGGTCGGCAAAAATTTATCGACCTCAATCTTTTTGAGGTCGGCAATCAGGTCGGCAAAAATTACTTGATACAAAGGTCTGACCATAAAACATAAAAACAAGGTCGGCAATTTATGTCGACCTCAAACACTCCTAGGTTGGCAGTTAGGTCAGCATTGCTGAATACCGACCCTAATTCCGATGGTTGTATAATATAGCTGTTGATATATATATATATATATTAATCTGTTGATATAATATAGCTTTGTTGTATTTTTATTAATCTGTTGATATAATATAGCTGTTGATATATATATTAATCTGTTGATATAAGATAGCTGTATATAAATGGTTTATGAGCTCATGTGAACAATAAAATCTTTACTAATTATGCAAGTCTTGATGCAAAGTTCAATGCTGAGGGTAGGAAAGTTGATCTAATAATAAATAACTGCACAGCTCATCCTAATCTTGACAACCTCATAGCAATTGAATTAGTATTTTTTCCATCCAACACAGCCTCCAAAACTCAATTAATGGACCAATTGTAAGAACATTGAAGGTTTTTTATTGCACAAATGTTGTGAGGTGTCAAATATATTGATGCTAGTAAGGTGCCCCCAAAGATCAACTTTCTTGAAGCTATGAGCAGTTTTGTCAGGTTATGAGACTCTGTATTAACAAGCACTGCAAAGAATTGTTTTAAAAAGCAGGCATCTCACAGAAAATACAAATTGAAAAGCTAAATGGTGAAGCTGATCCATTCAAATTGTTTGAAGATTATGTGATTTATTAGATGAAGAATTAGCTGTTGACAATTACATAAATATAGATTTTGAAGTAAAACAATTGCTCTCACAGATCAAGAAATTATGGATACCATTTTAATCAATGATTGTATTGAGGTAGAAGTGGAGATTGATAAAGGTAAATCAACAAGTGACCTCCTGAAAAGCCAAAGTTTTCAGAGATTACACTTGCAATTAAGTTAATTGGTCTCTTTTTAACAATAATGGTGTAGAAATCCAACAATTACTAAGCTTCATGTTGAAGATGTCTGATAAAAACTCTTTAGAAACTCAAAAAACATGATTTTTTCAAAAATTGTGATAAGTTTGTTATTTTAAAACATAAATGTTATGGAAACTATTCTTATTCTTGAAAATTTATTTATATTTTCAAAAAATTATTTTACAATAATGAAACTCTAAGATAAATATTAAAAAATAGAAGTCTTTATAGAGAAATTTAGCGGCCTAAAATTTACATAATAAACCAATATATTTATTACAAAATAACTTGGTAAATAACCAATCAAAATAACTGTCAAAGTAAAAAATAATATAATGGCTTTTTTAAAAATTAGTAAATAATTTTTTATTTCTCTAGTAAAATACTTAAGCAGCATCTTATTCCATTTTACTCTCGATTTTTTTTGAAATCAAAATGCTATGCCTTAGTGCTTCTTAACGAGATCTTTTGCAAATTCGGCCCTGGCCCCGGCAAAATTATAAGATTTAGCAGGGGTTGATAGCCGAGGCTAGAAATAAATTTATAATTCTTTATATATTATAATTTTATACTTACATTTACTAATTATTAAAATCTGGCATATAATTATGGTAATATTTAATAAATAGGTACAGATACAGTAAAAGGATGCAACTTGTTGAATAAGAAGCTAAGCAAGAATGAGTTTTGGTTTATTGTATTAGAGATGATAGCTCGTTTGAGCATTGACCGTGATTAACAAAACAGCATAAAAGAGGAAGGCTAAAGCCTGATGATGTCATTATATCAGCAGATGATGGTGAAAATAATGATAATAATGATGATGGTGATGATGATGATGATGATAATAATAATAATGATGATGATAATTATGATGACGATGATGATAATGATGATGATAATGATGATGATAATAATGATGATCATGTTGATCATAATGATATTTATAAACGCATATATACAAAATTAAACATAAGTTTTGAAGAAAAAAATATAATTTATTATGTATAAATGTTTATGCAGCCTCGGTCACAAATTCGGCCTCGGCCCTAGCTATTTTTTATCAAAACCGGCCCCAGTCAAATAATAACCTTGGTCATTTACTAATTGGTTGTAACTTGAAATAAGTCACTTAAAAGTATATTTTTAATTATTTAAAACTTTGGTTATTCAAAGTTAAATTATTTTTTCCTAGAAGTTAGAATAAAATGCAATAGATAAATTTGTGTAGAATTCATTCAAATCATTTGTTCAAATATTTTAAAGCCTTTTTAGGATCCAAATTTTCAGATAAACAAGAAGAAAGAGGCATTAATTAAAAACTTAGTTCCTTGCCGAAAATATTTTTTCTTTTTTCTATTTTCTGTTAGTTGACTTTCCAATGCGATGCAATAAGACTTTAAAACCTCTGTCGTAACTTTTAAGAGCTTTTTATTCAATAATAAAAAGCTCTCAACAGGTTCTCAACAAAATATTTTTTTCAATAATAGCACATCCAAATACTTTATTGGAAACCTCTTCTTTGTATTTTTCTTTTAGACAATTATTTTTTCAAGTTTTGTTCAGGTTCGTCCAAAAATCTCTTACTTTTTCTTACTCTTAAAACAGATTTTGCTGCAAAACTTTTTTTTTACCATTAAAAAAGAAGCAAGTTCACATACATTTTATACTAACGAACACTAAAGAACACTAATAAACACTAATGTACACTAATGTACACTAACATACTTTTTTGAGTTATTATAGTTTTTATTAGGAACTAATATTTACTTATTCTTACATATAATTATTCTTACAGTCATATATTTTTTTATTCTCAGGAAAAAAATAAGTATACAACAAAGTTTGTTGCTTTTGAAGCTTTTGTGCCTGGGTAAAAATCACCTATTTTATCCGCTCCTCCGGGCCTGTATTTATAACTATTTATTTAAAAAACAGACTCTAAGTTATTAAGAATCAAATAAAACTTATTAACATTGACATATGCTTCATTAATGCTTTATGCATCAAGTTTTGTTTTTCATAGTGAAAATAAACATATCCATGTCTCATTTTAGATATGTGTGCAAGTTCATTTTTTCTCTGTTTAATAAAATAATAATTACCTAAACAAACTCTGACTACAAAAAAGTTTATTGGCAATGTTGTGTTTAAGTGAAAAAATGTTTTTAAAAGTTTTTTTCTAGCATAATTGTAATAAATATTCTAATAGATTATTTAAATAATTTTTTTTAAAACAATAATTATAATTATCTTGTTGTCCTGCTGAACAACTGAGTTCTACTTTTTTGTAATTTCAATTGTCCTTTGAGACAAACATTCATCTTGTACTACTGGTAACCTATAAGTAAAAGATAATCTATTTACTGGAGAGTTGTTGAGTTATACTCATTCAGTCATTGTGTGTATTTTTCTTTTTTAAGGTTTTCTTTAAATGACATCTATGAAAAATTAGAAATACCACCCCATATTCAAAGTATATTGCAAAAGGTAAGAATAAGTTTTTATGTATATTTAGTTTTTTTTTTATTAAACCATGTTGATTAAGGTGGTTAATAGTTAAAATAATGTTGATAACTGGTAAAACACAGTAAGTTGGAAAGTTAAAAAAAAATCTTGATAACTGGTGAATTTAGTGAGATGAAAAGTGATTAAGAAAATATTAATGAAATGTGATAAATAAAAAGTTGATAACTTATAAGGTCGTTAAAAGATTAAGGTTTATACAGTTTGTTTTAATTTAAGAATCTCTTTGAGTAAGAAATATTTCTTAATCACAAATTTTTAATAGAAGTTTACAAAAATCAAAGAAATATAAAAAATAAACCATCAATATCAGCAAAAATTTCAAAATCAAATCTTCTTAAAATAATATTAAAAAAATATATATCATTTAACTTATTCACAGCATTCAAAATATATCTGTTTTACTTTTTATTGCACCTTTAACATTAATCTTTTTTGTGCAAGAAATCCTTGTGTAATGAGGTGACTAATTAAAAGAAAAATTTCAGGACCAGATGTAGTCCACTGATTTCAAGTGGTAGTATGAACTTCTACAAAAATTATATTGAAACTTAAGTTATTGAAAATAGATAAATTGGCCAACAGTTTGATTGTCACTTGTGTTTTAAGAACACCACTTTAACAATTTACAAAAAAAATAAACTCATTTTCTTCATAAAAGTAACTTATCATAAAATGTATGGACAACTTACCTAATTGTGCAAAATGAAATCACTTGTAATTTTCATTAGAACAAATGTATTACTCAATCAAATAAAGAAAAGAAGCAAACATAGAACTTTAAAAGGTTTTCATTTATCAGGTCTTGTTAAGAAGCGTTACGCTGTTTGCATTTTACTTAAAAAGTGGCAATTACCACATTAAGCCATTTACGTTAAGTCAAAACTTATAAATTGTATTTATATTTAAATTGCCTTTTGATATAGTTTAAGCGGCGTTTAATTCAAAAACATTTGTAATTAATTGCTCTAAAAAATTTTTTTTTTATTTTAAAGGAAAAATAATCTCTTTTAAATACTGAATTTTGATTTTATAAGTAATATTTGTTATATTGTTTAAAAGATTATTAATGTGGTTTAGAATTAAATTTAATTATGATGCGACTTTTTAAAACGCGTTAATGACGCTTTTTAGTTTTTAATGATGTAAAAACTTTGTTGAGTACTATTAAGTTGTGTTACGCTTTTCTGTTACGCAATGGAATCCTGTAATAATCTTGTAAATCAGGCCATTTATGGTATATGGTTTGTTGCATTGTTGTTAAGAACTTTCAATGGCATGTTGGCTTTCATTGTGTGTTAGCTCCAAAAAGCCTATGCAAGATTTTTTCTTCAATTTTGCATGGATTTTTTTGTCAGAAGAAATGAGAAAATTCTTTGTTCTTGAACTACATACTAAAACTGGAAAATAATAACTATGCATAAAAAATGTAAAAAACTCTATCAGCTTGGAACTTACGGTAGTTATTGCTTTTGCTGTTTCATGAAGCAACTTTGTTTTGGAAACCAATATCAGTTTTATATATCATACTTGAGAATGAGGGTATCTGTACTCATTTGAAATATTGTGCAAAAATCTTTTTCTAGTAAAAAGTTGAATCCATTAAAGAAGTTTTTAATTTAATTAAAAAGTAGACAATATTGCACTTGTTTGAATAAATATATAGGAAGGTTACAATAGACAATATTGTACCTTATAATCAGCACCATAGCATTGAGGTCCAAAACTTATATATTTTTTGTTTAACCAATTATTCTTAAATAATTTTTTTTAGAAAGTTTAATAAACAATTCAGTTTTTGCTGTTTTTTTGTGGTTAATCCAGATAAAACTCAATTTTTTTTGGCCAATCGTTATCGCAATAATTTAGACCTTCCTATATTTATGAACGGTAATGTACTCGATGAGTCTCCTACCATTCATCTTCTAGGATTAACTCTTACTTCTGATCTTTCTTGGAAACCTTATATCAAATCCGTTGCAAAATTAGCATCTGCTAAAGTTGCTTCTCTTTATCGAGGTTGTCACTTTCTTACTCTGGATTCTATTCTCTATCTCTATAAATCTCAAATCCAGCCTTGTATGGAATACTGTTGCCATATCTGGGGCAGATCTTCTAATGATGCCCTTTCTCTTTTAGACAAGGTGCAAAAACGCATTGTAAACATAGTTGGACCTGCTCTTGCAGCCAACCTTCAACCTCTGTCACATCGTCGTAATGTTGCTTCTCTTTCTCTTTTCTACAAATACTATAATGGGCACTGCTCTAAAGAGCTAGCGTCTCTTGTGCCATCTACTAAAATTCATTCTCGTGTTACTCGTCATTCAATTAAGTCTCATCCTTTTTCTGTTACTGTTCCTAAGTGCTCCAAAAACTCTTATTCGTCTAGTTTTTTTCCTCGAACATCAGTTCTTTGGAATTCGCTTCCTTCATCTTGTTTTCCTGATTCATATAATTTGCAATCTTTTAAGTCGTATGTCAATCGTTATCTTGCTCTACAATCTTCATCTTTTCTCTTCCAGTAACTTCCAACACTAATTAGTGGTTGCTTGCAACCTTGTTGGAAGCAAAGATAATTAAAAAAAAAAAAAAAAAAAAAAAAACTTCAATTTTTAACATTTTAAAAATGTTAAAAAACTATAAAACTAGAAATCTTTGCGGCGTATTTTTTGCGTGTAAAGTTACGCAAATTTATGTTAAAATTTATGCAATTTAAGTTTTAATTGGATAACTTTGAATCATAATGAATTAAAGTTATGTTTAAACAAAGATAAGTCTTATCTAGTGTAAAAATTAGTTTTGATTTGACTTCACTAGAAAATACTTTGCTATTAGTATATCAATTAAATCAATTAATATGAAAAATATTGCAACAAGAAGTAACAAAGTAATAAATTATAAACTAGTAAACAAATAAATTTAAGTTAGTAAACTTTTTTAGAAATCTTCCAGTAATAGACAAATTTTATCATACAAAATTGCCTTTACTCAGGGTTGTTTTTGTACTTATCTTCAATAAAGTCAACAATAAATTATATTTCAGAAATATTCATTAAATAAGATAGACTGTTCAGTAGTCGTTGAAGCAGTTTGTTTATATGCATCAAAAAACTTGGATGTTTGTATTATTCTTGCAAATAGTTTATCAAAATTTAGCTATCTTTCTTGAATAGAAAATAAAAAAGTATTATGGGTTTGGAAAAAAAATACAATAATGGAATAACTAATGTATTACATTTTTAATTAATTTTTTTTCAATTTATAAAACAATTTTAAATAATTTGAACTTAAGTGTCAGCGTGGAACTCATTCCAATCGGCTTTGTAAATACCGTCGGTTACAATTATTCCTTGTGGTAATATACTTAAATGTCCAAACCATTGTGAAATCAAGATTTAGTTAATTTAGAAATATTTCAGGAAATGTGTCTCATTGTTAAAAAATTTAAGAATATAAGAGTAATAATAACTAGAGTTGGAACTAGTGAACTAGAAAGAACTGAAATGGAGCGGGTTAGCAAAAAAAGAACTGTAAGCTTTACATTATGCGTCCAAGAGATATAATATCTTAGCTTGTTTAAAATTACAAGGCAGCCCATTTACTTGTGAATAAGATGTCAATAAATATATTGAAAATCAGAAAGATATGTTAAATCTCATAAAAACGATTGATGAATGGGATGTTTATTTTAGTAATAATCAAAATAATATGTCATTGCAGCAAAGATCCACTTTATTTAAAATCATAATTATTGATAAAAATACAAAAAAACATCATGTTATGTCTACAGGAGAATAAACTAATAAAGTTTAAAGTTTCTACTTAACTTGGAAAGTCCTCACAGCAATCCATAATCACCTACAAAGACTTTTTTTTTAGTTATTAAGGTGCTCCATAAAGGACTAAATGTCTTATTACAATGTTTTCACGGTTTTATCACAACGTTCTCACGGTCTTATCACAACGTTCTCACGGTCTTATCACAACGTTCTCATGGTCTTATCACAATGTTCTCACAGTCTTATCACAACGTTCTCACAGTTTTATCACAACGTTCTCACGGTCTTATCACAATGTTCTTATGGTCTTATCACCATGTTCTCACGGTTTTATCACAACATTCTCACGGTCTTATCACAATGTTCTCATGGTTTTATCACAAAGCTCCGTGGAAGAGCAATTTAACTAGGAAGTCATCTTTCACCAATGTTTCTTATCTTATCAGAGCCAACAATGAACCTCAGTCCTTTTGATTCTGAGAACTCAAATCACTGCACGATGGTTGTAATGAAGTTATTTCGCATTTTCACTAGTAATTGTTACAAATTGTTCCTTATATGGAGTAATTTCATGTATGTCAAACTTTTTATTGTATTTATAAGTATGCATAATGATTACGTATTTTATTAATAAAGCAAGAAAATTATTTTTTACCGCAATTCTACTTTGGTAATTACAATCATTTCATTTAAATGTCTAAGTAACCACTTTTATTGAAATGAAAGTAGAAGTTACTGTAATGTCTTTAATGCAAAAGCACATGATGGTAAGAAAAATTTGAATATATAAAATTTGAATATATATGCTTATGTCAATAAGTATGTGTGTACAAATTCAACTGATTGTTCAACAATAGATCTTCCATTCAGAAATTCAGTCTATTTTGACTTGATTTATTGTTTGAAATGCAAATAGTTAAATATAATTCGAACTTTGAAAAATATCACCATGATTGCAGAGACTTCAGTAGCAAACACTCAGGTGTAGATTTTGTAAGGAAATAAGTTTGTTGAATTGAACTTGTACACTTTTTATTTTCCTACCATTTTCTATTGTACCTTTTTATTCTTCTTTGTTGCCATATTTTCTCCTTTGCCCTTTTTTCTGCAATTTATAATGTCCAAACTGTAGCATTTTAATTTTTTGGTTACCTTGAACATATCTGATAATTTTGGGTCATTATT